TGTCTACTAACAACCTGTCAGTTTTAATTTTTTTTAAGGGGTTTGGTATAGGCAAATTTTGTAAAAATCTTAAATTAAAAATTAAACTTCAATATATTTGTATTATTACAGTAATGAAGAGTCATTGTGGATAATTATGTATTTTGTTTGGCTATATGTGTACAGCGTCTGGTTCTAATGTTTTTCACAATTATTGTTCGTTATTATTGGTCAAAAGCTAACTCGATAGCTGCTATTCGCGGTCCTAACTATTCTTTTTTGCTTGTATTGTTCTTAAAATTTTGATTGCATTTAAATGTTTCGTCCCCAGCCAGAGCAAAGTCAAAGTGATGCGTCTGTCGAAAAATTATATAGGTGGCAACTACAAACTTAAAAATTGGTTGTCCTAACAACTAACAACTCTTAAATCGATCGTTTGATATTTGTGATAATTATTCTTAATTTTTGATTTTGCATATTATTTCGTTCTTGTTTAATTATATTTTCTACGTACCTATTATATTTGTATACCTGTGTTATTAGAGATTGACGCTGGCTTAAACTATTGGGCATGGTGCGAAGACACCCGACATAGGCGGCAAGACGTCCTGTTCCCCCTTTACTGACGTCATCATTGAAAACCTTAAAAATGAATTCTTTAAAAAAAAATTCTTGTTTTTGTTTCAATTGCTGTAAACGTATAAATAAATAAATAATTATAAAAAACAAATTGAAATCCTTTGTAATATAAAGTTACAATGCAGTACGGTGAGTGGACCACATTTCTGACTGCCCCCGTTCTAGGTAATAAATTAGAGGATCCTAGCAGGAACAGTATCTACCCCTAAAATATTCCTAGACTCTTAATCAACTCATTTAACCGCCTAAAAAGTAAAAGAGTGGTCGTATTTTAAATAAATTACTTTATTACTCTCAAATTCGCAAAGTACAATATTATTTATTAAAATACTCAATGCCGAGTAAACTAAAACTACTATAGTGATAATAGTTTGTTTTACAGAGAAACCCAACTCAAACCAAGTACGGTATAAACCAGCACAATAAGAAATTAGCACAGTGATTCAAGAGGGTTATTTAATATGGAAGTGGTGTATTCATTGACAAACGTCTCGATGCAAATCTGATATCTAGAACACAGTACAGTACAAAGTACAAACCATGTACAGCCTAAACCAGGTATAGCGTAAATCAGAAAATGTTAGCAAAGTTGGGTCAAAAAAGCAGTTTTTATATCTTAATGTGATTACACTGCAATAGAACACTTCGATGCGTATCTGCAAGTAGTAAAAATCCAACTTAGTTTAAACCAAGTACAGTGTAAACCAGTGCAATAAAAAAATAGTGGGGTTCAGTATCCACAAAGCCACGTTTCCTTGAATGTAGTTTCATAGGAACTTTGCACGTAATGATTTTTATCTTAAGGTCAGGAAGATAGTTTGAAATCAACAATTTGTTTCTATTTATTAAACCATCGTCATTGAACCCACTCAATATTTTCAGTTTTAAATTTGTTTTTTTTTTATACCTTAATAAATCCAATGCGAACAACCGAATCAAGCGCCCATACTCATTCACGTGTACGTAAATATTTTTGTTTTAATTTAATTTTAGTTCTTAGAACTGCACCCTATCAAAAAACCGATCAGCCTAACGAGTTTTAAAGCTTTAATTAAAATTCCAAATGAATTATTGTTTTCATAAAAAAACCGATTTACAATTGTCCCACGTCTCACGTACAAAATATTCCAGTTGACTTTATTTTTGGTAACCGTTTTGTGGTCGAAAAAAGTACTAATTAGAGCTTTGTTTTGTGCAGTTTGCTAATTAATTGTGTGAGTTAAACTGAAAACTATATAGAGAAAATATTTAATCATTCAGTCACTGTACGAAACCCATGGTTTTGATCTTGAATCACTCAACCCGACATCTTACTTTCACCATCTCTGACCAAACCTGAACTTAATTACACATACCAGTGGTCATTATAATTCTATAGTCTAAACCAGTCAATCAATGTTCATTGTAATTTGAGCCGAACAAACCTTTACAGAGCTAAATTTAACGTCTGTTAATCGTTTTTAAGAACGCTAAACAAACCAATACAATCCAAAACTATGTGGTTTTTATTTAAACATTTATTACAATACAATTTATAAATTCATATGTGGTTCCGGTTAACTATCTCATGCTTAAGACAAAAAGAAACTAATTCTTAAAAATTGAATTTATCCTATAGGAATTACTGTAAATTTTGATTTCTGAAAAAAAAATTATAACAACAACCTATAAAGAATCTTTTTTACCGACTACTGTGTACACTACAGTTTAAAGTCTAAATTAAAAATGTTGGCTATACTTCAAATGGGTGAAGATTTCTTAGCTGTAAAAAAGTCATGTCCTGCAGCAATTCTTGATAACATAAATTATATTCTGTATTATAACAAACTCAGCTCGACCTTTTCCCTAACATTAACTGTATGCTTAACGTTCAATAGATTTACAGGAGGAAATTTACAAATCTCACTATGCCATCCAATTATTTTTAATTCTACGGGCCAACAAAATATTACTTCCTGAGCGGAAACGTTTTTCACTTTTTGGATTATTCGTTTGAATGCAAATAAAATATTCTTTTCCGGTAACTAAAACTGGCTGAGTGGATTTTTTTGCAACGTTTTCGCCAAAATAATGTCATATAATGATGCAGTGCAATAATTATCATTATTTCCAGTAGTCAAATATTATTTATGTCAAGTCGCAACAAATTATTTTTCTTTGAATACTGTAAGAACAATACTTTTTCAGCTACACATAAATGCTAAAAAGTAAAAATCACCGTATAAGATTACAATTTATGGAAAGCCCACATAATTTTTAAACCGATTGCTTTGTGTAGCAAATTTTAAGGTATAAAATCATATCCGAAGAGTACTTTTACTCTTCAAATTTAACTGCTTTTATATAGCTTATAATTTTTTTGAAAAAAGTAGAATTACATTTAAACCTAAATGTGATGTTTTTTTTGTTTAGTAGGATTATGGATACACACTAACAAACCAAAAACATATCATAAGCCATCTTCTCTATAAGGGTTGCTAAGGTTTTTCTTTACTTCACATTTTTTAGTGTAATTTTGATCAATTACACTGTTACATAAATAACAGATATCTTTACATATTTAAATGTATTATATAGAACAAAAAACAATGTATAAATCTAATAATTTGAAAAATCTTTTGTTTTTGTATTTGTTTACATCAAGTAGTATCATACTTGTATAGTTGAAAGAGATCATCAATCAATTTTTAATTAATTTAAATTTGCATTTAATAACGATGTTTAATCCAATTAGCTACAGAGTAATAAAAATTGTAATAAGAGACAAAGATAACAAATATATAAGTTAAAATAAGGTCACACAGAAAAAAAAAAGCGTTCAACTAATTATTTTTAGATTTATATTGTATCATACCTACCAAGTAGGAATTATGAAAACCGACGCGCACTCTAGGAGAAAAGTGTTCTATTAAAGTATAAAGACTTTCTACATAAGGTAGAATATAAATTTGCATTTTAAATACAATTAATTCATTATAAACCGTCCGATTTTTTAAATTTAAAACATATTCTAATGAAATAAAAATATAGAATAGGACTATATTCAACTTTAAGATTCATAGTTGTATCAAGTTAATCAGTCGACAGGCAGCAAGAATATACGACAAAAAATATATTTCTGAGGATGGAATATTTCCAAAGTATTGGCAAGCAAATCAATTTGTAAAGTATATAAATATGTATGTAAATATGTACAGCATTAGGTTTATCATTAAATGCAGTTCCATCTTTACCCTAAGGGCACGTGGGGTACGAGCCCATAGCCTCCGGCCTGATGGGGGCCCCAAATAATACAATTTATATCTTAACGTTTTTTTTTTGCTTTCTTAAAGGGCCCAAAAACGTTGTATGCACAATAGCTCCTGTATAGCCTAAGACGGTTCTGCTGAAATGTTGTAAATAATGTAAATATTATTATAAAACCCCATGCAATTTTTAACCAATTTATAACTTAATTTATCGTTAGTTTAATTGCGTCATCAATAGCGTATTTGTCGCTGAATTATTGCATTTCTTATTGAGCTGGAATTTTTTTTAGTTATCTATGTCATTCCCACATTTTGTAAGAGGATTATTTTCTTACAAACATATTTTAAAAAATTATTTAATAACTACAATGTTATTTTCGATACGTTTTAAAATTGTTTTCTCATTTGGTCAAAAAAAATTAATGAAATTTTATTTTTTAGTAAATATATTTAGTCTTTATTTGTAACGTTTTCCCAACTTACGTTTCGAACGATAACATCGTTTGTGCAGAATTCAAAATGCATAATTAAGTTTAACGGACAAATTTCAAAAGAGTTAGATCTTAAGACTGGATCACATCAAAAATATATTTCAAAAGTAAAATATTTTATAATATTCGTTACAAGATTCTACTTTTCACTCATTTTAACTGTTTATTAAGAACCGTCTATTTATAAGGCAGTTATATTTTGTTCAACTATAAATTGGCAATTATCAATTTGCTCTAACTTGGATAATATATTGTTTAAATCTAGTTGTACACTATAAACACAAAATCTGTAGGTATAATTATATTTTCTAGTTGTAATGCGTGTTAGAATAGAGCAGTGGTTGAGAAAGTAGGGTTTGTGCAAAAAATAAAACAATACACTCTTTCATGTAATTAAAGTTGAAATGAAGTTTATGCTATTCAAGTTATTTTGACTTTGTGTTGTGTTGCCTGTGCATTCTTTGTACATGTTTTTTTAATATTTAACATCGTTATTGTCATGGAGTAGGTCACAGTTAGGAATAATATTAATTATTATTAACTCTAGTCTCTAGCGAGTCTGGATTTTTAATACAATATGTACGTTGAACAGTCTGAATAAATACACGATATTGAATTAGGATTATAGATACAATCTGGTATAATATCGCAAATCATTTAAAATAAATCATCTATAATAGTAGGTATAATAGTATGTATAAAAAAATAAACAATTTTATTTGCCCATCCATAAAATGTAATCTATGAAAGTGGAGCCTAAATAACAAGCAGCGTATAAATTAAATTTTTTTTTATCAACGTAGTTATACATCAATGTATTTCCGTCCGGAGTAATTTCAGTAATAACACATTGGCCTCTTACGCATTTTGCTTTAGTATATTTATTTTGAGGATTTGAAAATGATTTGATCAATGCCATCAATTCACATTTTTTATCACCGTCGGTGTAACACATTTCTAACAAACCTAAAAATCGCATTAAACATGTATTATATTGGACCGTATAATATATAACGTCATAAATTCATAAATCGTTCACTGTTCGTTTTTGAATAATTGTTTTTTAAGTAACATTATCAAGATAATAATAATATTACCAAATGCGTAGTGAAGTACCCGCATCATTGATGGCAACAATATCTGTATGCGTATGTCCCTTTCACCATCATAACTTTGCACGTACTCTGTTGAATAATAGTAAATGTATTAAAATTTTAAATTATTAAAAGAGTTTTCCATTATGGTTTTCTAGATTTAGTTTTAAGAGGGCGTTGCACCGGTGATTTTCAGTGGTATAAACATGTTAAAGCAGACTGAGAATAACTCGCTTAATTTTGGTTTTAGAGTAAAAGCACCCATTATAAAATGAAAAAAAAACAATATTCCGGAGGGCAAGACGGTGCGTTTTTTTTAAAAAAATTCTTTTTTTGAAAAGTTAGTCATTCAAAAATGTTAAAATAGTCATTATTTATAAACTATGTACTGAGCGCTATACATAGAATAATGAAAAAACGCACCGTCTTGCCCTCCGAAATATTGTTCTCTTTTAATTTTATAATGGGTGCTTTTACTCTAAATCCAAAATTAAGCGAGTTGTTTTCAGTCTGCTTAAACAAGTAGAGATGAAAAAACATTTTAAAATCGCTTTCAAGGATGCTGTGATAGTCCAAAAATAAATTAACCACCAAAATAGAGTCTTAGTTATTAAGCTAATAATTACACATCACAGTTTAACTTTTAAATTAAAATGTTGTAAAAAAATTGCCTATACTTTACTCCTTAAAAATGGGCAGTGCGACGCACAGTGGTCCGAGAGTGAATTCTAGGCGCTCAAAAGTCTTATTAATAAATATGCAAAAAATATCAAAACATTATGAATTATTAATTTTAATATGTTTCTAAGACATAATATAAAATTTCAAGGTCATATGTGTACCTGGACGTTTTTTATTGCTATTTAAAGTTCAGTTTTTATAGTTTGGCGGTTATTTTGATTTCAAAAAATAATATTTCGTTACAATTTTTTTACCCTTTGATATTTTTAAAAAAAATTTTTAAGAAAAATTTTTTAATTATTTTTTTTTATTTAACAAGTAGATAACCAAAGGAAAAAAATATTTTTTTTGAAAAATGTTTTTTTTCAAACTAGTTATGATAATTTTGAACGAAAAATATCTGATGTTTTACATGTTTTTTTTTTTAAGAGAGTAGTACTAAAATTTGCCAATTTTTACCCACATAACAATACATAGGTGTTATAGAGCAAGTATTCAGGTTTTTAAAAACATTAATTTTTTTTGCGACAGACAAAAATTAATTAGTACACAAGGCAATTTAAAAAGTATGATTTTTCAGTTTAGCGGATATTTTGTTTTCAGAAAATATTATTTCGCTTACAATTTTTTTACCCTTTGATTTTTTTTAATTAAATTTTTTAATTTAACTAATAGACAACTAAATTAAAACATTTTTTTAAAAAATCAAAGGGTAAAAAAATTGTAAGCGAAATAATATTTTCTGAAAACAAAATATCCGCTAAACTGAAAAATCATACTTTTTAATTTGCCTTGTGTACTAATTAATTTTTGTCTGTCGCAAAAAAAATTATTATTTTTAAAAACCTGAATACTTGTTCTACAACACCTATGTATTGCTATGTGGGTAAAAATTGGCAAATTTTAGTACTACTCTCTTAAAAAAAAAAACATGTAAAACATCAGATATTTTTCGTTCAAAATTATCATAACTAGTTTGAAAAAAAACATTTTTTAAAAAAAATATTTTTTTCCTTTGGTTATCTACTTGTTAAATAAAAAAATATAATTAAAAAATTTTTTTTAAAAATATCAAAGGGTAAAAAAATTGTAACGAAATATTATTTTTTGAAATCAAAATAACCGCCAAACTATAAAAACTAAACTTTAAATAGCAATAAAAAACGTCCAGGTACACATATGACCTTGAAATTTTATATTATGTCTAAGAAACATATTAAAGTTAATAATTCATAATTGTTTTGATATTTTTTGCAAATTTATTAATAGGACTTTTGAGCGCCTAGAATTCACTCTTGGACCACTGTGCGACGCCCTCTTAAGAGGATTGCATGCGGTCTGTTTTTTAAGGAGTTTTGTATAGGCAATATTTATGGAAAAAGAGGTTTTAATCTACATAACCTAGTAAAGTTGCTAAAGAACTCTTAAATTAATACAGAATTTAAATCCGACCCATTCTAAGTAGTCAAATTTTTGTCTGGCATTTTGGTATAAAACGTCAAAAAAAACAGACCGCATGCAAGCTCCTTAAATTATGAGCGATATTTCTGAAACCCCTAATTTTAATAATGGCTAATTTCGTTTCTCGTCAATTATAACGAGTCATAAAGAAAATTATTGAAATATTGCTATGTTGAGAATAATTTATGTTGTACTAGTAAAACATTAATAATATACATGGATACTGTAGAAAAAGACACGTTACCTTCAATTTCTGTTTCATCAATATTGACAATTTCATTTTGGTCTTCTAAAAAAAACAAATTCGAATAAAGTTTTATTCATATCGTATTGCACAAAACCATCAATACATAGGTACATATTTACTAGCAGTCCGAGCGGTGCTAAACTCAGCACTAGATCTTTAAAGTTACATTTATTTTATACATAACTTTTCTAGGCCAAACAATAAAATACTTTTATTTTAATTTATTTTGTTATTTAGAAAAACTATTAAGTTAAGGGTTTAATAATAAATAATTCAATACGGCAAAAAATGTTTTTTGAAAATTAAAAAACTATTTCTACTTTAATTTAAAAAAATAATCGTTTGTACAATCGAATATTAAAATGACCAAGATCATGATTGTGCAAAATGTTTGTCTTTAATTTTTTAAATATTAATGAAAGGGTATTTAAAAAAGTTTAATGGTATATCATTACCTTATTTTTAATTAACATCTAAATCAATGCGTAAAAGACTATTAGAAAAATATTTCTTCTATAAAATTAAATTTTTCAGAAAATATCACTTATACCTTTACTGTACATCATTCCACTGATCTTTATTTCTTTAATCTTGATCTTAAAATACTCTCGTTTTCCCACCCTTATCACATTGTAGTATGAAATGCTACCACATTATTATAATTTTCCCTTCGGCGTTCTTTATTATTAAAGGTAATAAAACAATAATCAATTGCAATATATTCGTACATCTTATGACGAAGTGCCTAGATAGTTATGTTAAAAAACGCCCATTGTATTGGACCAGTGTAAGAGACTTACTTATGACATAAATTTAGTGATTAAAATATTATTTTCTTACCTATATTGGACTTTATGATATATTGAAGTACCGCCTCTCTGTCTGATATGTCCATAGAATCTGAAAACATAATATATCATTTACAATAATTTTGATTAAAATCGAATGGAATTAAAGTTATTTATGAATTGATTCTATCGTATTCAACTTGATGTTTAATAATTCTTAAACATTTATTATATTATATTAACATGTATATAATATGCTATTGCAATGTACTCAATTTTAGTCCCTGCGTATTTAACATTCTACTCCCCATATAAGAGCACATAATTAAGTTTATAGTACTGAGTGCAGGACTTTTAAGTTCTGTATGTTAAATCATTAAACATTAGGACAGAATTATTAAGAATTTTGTATAACATAGATATTAGATAACATGCAAATATAAGACGCTTAAGCTACCATAATATAATTATAGTTACCTAATTTTTGCCTGGCAACCTCTGATGAATCTATATTAAAAATATTTTTAGTGTATTATTGGGTAAATATAATATAATACAATTCTAGTAAACTACAAATTCATTATATTTTACCATAAATACTTTATGGTAATTACCTAGTGGTAAAAGAGTATTAACCATTATCGCTGTAAAAAATAAAATTTAACTTATTAATATTCCAATGTAGTATTAAACATAATGTAATAAAAAAATAAGAATACTAACATGTGTTATTTAGAAAACACTACATACAAATTTAAACGTCAGATACTTTCATACTATTCACTTACTTACATTATAGAGTGGAAAGTGTCAAAATTAATAACATTTAAATAATATAGTGTAATAATATGTTATCCTAATTAAAATCGTTTACTGTATCATGTTGTTGATATTTTCTGATACAATGTATTTAATGAATGCACTTACTGAAAGAATATTGTTCAATACTTTTCTGTATAATCAAATCTCTCACAGCTGTAATATAAAAGTAACTGTCTCGTTATTTTTTTACTTCTGATTTTAGTAATTAATTTGTTATTGTTAATACATTTTACCTGGTATCAGGTTGTTTATAATTTCGTCTGTAATATACACGATAAACAATAAACAAATTAATGAAAAAAAAAATTATTTAGTAAATACATTAAACAGTCATACGAAAAACAACTAGACTCATTGTAAATATAATTTTTTTTTTATAAGCAAAAAATGATAGTAATTTATTTAATCGTGTAGTAATAATAGTAATAAATAATACATAACAACTTGTATACTACAACTCTTCATAACAAAATGTTATGATTTTTTTCAACATTTTTTTAAAAATTTTATTTAAAAAAAGTAAATAAAACCTATGGATTAAATTATTATGGCGATGTACTAGGAGTTTATGGTTAAGAATGGCTAATACAAAATATGTACATTACACAGGTAGGTTAGTTTAGGTTCCTCTATCTTATACTTTTAATCCAAAGGACAGTTTAGCTATTAAAACAAGAATTAAAATAACCTCGTTTTTAAATGCACACTAATAAAGTATAATTTAGATAGTTGTTTTATAAAATCTCGGTTTAATTTAACAGCACAACTGTACCAATACCAAAAACCTTATCAAATCATTATCATCGAAAATTCCTATCTCGTAAACGGTTTGAAATGAAAAACTAAAAAAAATCATGGAAGAATTGTTTGTAGGTACTACAAGTGAAAAAAATTCAGCAAATCCTGTAATTCAGTAATTAAATAATGTACGATTTGGCGAGGAAAAGTCCACATATAATATAGTATATTTTAACAAAATTTCTTACTTGTTACATACATAACATCAGTGCAACCTAAAAAGTCACACAGATAATTAAAACACACGTACATTTTGTTAAAGGAGACAATTATTTTTGTTTTGATAAAAAATATCATATATTTTTTTTTTTAATTAGAAGTATACTATTTAATAAACTATTTTAAAATTGTACAGGAGGATCTTAACAATATTTTGTTGTTTTGAAAAAGTAAAAAAAGTTTCTTGCTGCAATTACTTTATGTCTGGCTATATGCTTTGGTCAAACCGATTGTGCTCATAAATCTTCTTTGCGCAAATAGTTACATTGATAAATAATAAACTGTTAAAAACTACAGAATATAACGATTTTAATGATATATAATTTAATAATTTTAGTTTACTATAACATTTTATAATCAGCAATTAAAAATACAGTTTTTTTCTTAAATAGTTCTTTTTGTATTTTTCTTGAACGCAAAAATAGTGTAAAACAGAACAATCGTTTATCAATAGTCTACCATCTATGTAAAATTTTATAAAGAATTAAACTGTGTACTTATTTGAATAATTGTTTTACTTAGTAAAAACCGAAAAAGTCATAAAATCACTAAAATTAACTAAACTTGAAATTATAACCACTTTTATGAATCAGTGGCACGTGTATAAGCCACTTTTAATAATCACGATTATAATACGGTTATCACCATATAATATTATATATTATACGGTCACGATGGTTACATTGATAATATTTTATCGATATTGATAAACAAAACCAAAAACAGATTAATTTTACAGCTGTTTTTATATTGATCAAAAAGTGGCTACCGCATACGCCACAGTTACGTAAAAGTAGAATGTTCAAATATATTGTTGCGCGTTTACAGTCTTTATAATGGTGGCTTCTATGGATGCCACAGTTGCCTTATTTATTAAATTTTAATTTTAGACCTGCACGTTAAAGGGTTAATCGTTAAAATTATCGGGTTATCCGTTTAGCTGTCACACTAACGTTAGGCCCAAATCAAGCCATCAGATTTTTACTATATACTAACCTATTAGTATTTTTATCGACAAATCCAAAATACCAAGGCATTACATTTAAGATTTTTGGAGTTTCGAAAAATGAGTAAATTTAATGTGAAATAAAAAATGTTAAATTTATATTCAAACCGTTGTTTTATTTCAGTTTAAACGATAAAAATATTCTCCCTTAGAATACAAGGAAAACTTAAACAATCTCCATTCTCCAAGCTTGATTTACCAAATCATGTACATAAATTAATTACAGCAATATTTTTTCAAACTATGGAATTCAAACAGTTGTGCTAAACATGATTATTGTTACCTTTTAATGGGTCCGTTGTTTCGCATATGAAATAACAGCTGAATATTGTAATCAAGCGAATTAGTTGCTTGGTATCCACTAACATCTGCATTATTTGTATTTAAAATATTAGATTACTAATTTGATTTAAAAATACAACTTTATTGGTTTATTCCACCTATTTATTTTTGTTTGATAATAGTAGTCACTATCCAGAATGTCTGTCGTATTAGTTTTAAAAATATTACCTATTTGATATTGCCCCCCCCCCCATTCTATCATAAATAGCCTTTTCCATTCCCATTTTAAGTATCTTTTAATCGTCCACGAACACATTTAGTAGACTGTACTAGTTCGGTGTGATAACGCTGAGTCACAAATGTTAACAAAAGCAACAGCTGTTGAATATTTGAGATTAAGACGGTGCCGTATTGGCCATTAACTGTATTTGTTAATGTTCACTAAAAGTATTTGTTTGAATCTGAGACTTGTCGCTTACTCAAAATTATTGTTTGTATATAATTACCACTATTGAAACTACCTTGTTATTTCTAATTAAATAATAACAGTAAACTATTAAGCCAAATACAATAGTCAATAACAAAGTTTCATTTAAACATCAAAGCAAAGTTACTATTATTATTAAACAATTCAAAGTCTAGACAAAATATTTTATAATAGTTCAATATGAAATTATAAGAAAAATGGTATCATTCTAACAACATACTCACCGTACTGGTATCGTGTTGTAACGTTATGCACTTGTGCTCCAACGGCTATATAATAACGCGTACTGTTGGTAACTGTTTTGGCTAGAACACAGATATTGCTATTTTGTAGAATCTACATTTACAAACAACTCTGTGAACAAACATAGAAAATATTTATTTTAATGTGTAATACAACAGTTGTTCATATGTAAGAAAAAAACAGATTTTTTAATATTTTACTAAGTTATTGGCAAAATAATGTTTCTACATGATAATATGCCAGTAAATTTAATATAGTACTTTGCGCTGTTGAATGTTCAAAAAAAAGTCTTGTTTGCATACAATGAAGCGAGATGATAGTTTCAGACGTCAGAGCTATGTAAAGCCTATTACGAATTTTGTCGAACATACCATATTTTAGTTGTTTTACTAGGTGTATTGTTTTAGAATAACTAAAATACAGGGTGTGCAAAAGAAACATATGTTTACAATTTCTGACTACTCTACTGTTCGTCGATAGTGTTGCTTTTAGATTGGTTACCGGAAAACAAATAAGAGCACAATGTCTTGAGTAATTGAAACATTTTCCATTCCTTCTAGAATTGGCACAATACAGTTATATTATGTTTACCTATTTAGCTAAATAATAAATAAACAACAAGTTCAGGGCATATATTATGTTTTTGGGTACCTTTTAATTTGTAGCGAAATAAAAAGCATTTTTTTAACGACTCCGCAGTAATTTTTTCGTTTAAAAGCTAAACCCTCAATCAGAGTACCATACGTCATTATAGGGATCACATTGAATTCATCAGCACGTTTTCATGATGCAAACTATAGGATGAAAACTTATCTTATAGTCTTAAGTTTTTTAGTGTTATTTGTCTCCTCAACGTTATAGTACATTCGTACCTAATCAAAATTAAATGTTATAGAACATAGGTTCTATGTTGAGTTCCGCCATCGGGCGGCTGCTTTTATTCATGTGTATCCAAGTCATTGTATTATTTACTCTTACGGACTTATTGTAATATAATAATTACAGATTGTTTGTTTTACCAATAAAATTTTAAAAAAAAATTTAAAAAAATTTAAAATTATATGTCTTTTGGAGTAAATGCTTTGAAGTTTTTAGTTGTTTTCTAGTAGGTAGTTCTTAAATATTATATTTTCGGTCAGTATTTAAAAACATTTTAAACATTTTTTTTGAAAATCATTTTAGTATTACTTAAATACATAAGTAATTCCCCTGCCGCGGTTATCCCTGTGGTTAGGGGAGAAAGAATTCTACCAAGGGCTTCACACCTGTCGTAAAAGGCGACTAAAGTGACATAGAGCCCTCCGACAAGTGGCCTTCTGACTGGTCACTTCTTCTTGTGACACACCTTCTCCGACCCGCAATTAGCACCCCGTGTTACTAGTCGGTCCGTATTCGTAGGGGATCCCTTCGGGGCGAACCACTAAACCAAAGAAACATCAGGTAATTCCCCTCGCGATTCTGGCGATTCAACGATAAAAAAAATACATAGATAATTAAAAAGTTTTTAAATTGTTTTTTTAAATATTATGATACCTGTAATTTATTTTAGAAATACTCTTATGTTGAATACTATTAAAAGTATTTTTATAACACTGAAATTATTGCAAGGTGCATTTTCAGAGCGATAAGTAATACCTTTTGTAAGTGGCAACCAAAGTTAATACAATTTCAGTACAATTACAATTACAGATAAATACTTTTTCTTTTCATGGATCAAACAGTCCAAAAGATTACAATAAATTACCCTACAAGCAATTATTTATAGAATTTGATTAAGACCATAGGCGTAACTAAAAGGGATTAGCCACCCCAGTCTCTATAATAGCTCCCTAATAGCTCATAAGCTACATAAAAAATGTACCGTATTTTCTATAAGCTTCAAAGTAAATTTAAAAAAAAATGTTTTTAGTATTTTTCTTTTGTAAAAAAAATGTTATGATAAAAATGTATATTTTTTAATATCATAAATTATTTTTCTGTAAAACCAGAAAGAAATAGCGTTCAATCATGACTCTACGATTTAATTATTCACCTACATGGAAAATTATAAATGAAAATAATATATTGACAATCTTGATTGATTGTGTATATACTGATAACCGTGCAATACAAAAGTATTGGGAACATCATCAATATGATTAGTTATTAGAGAAAATGCTCTTAATTCCGTTTTTATGGTGCCAAAAACTGTTGTAAATAAACTCAATTTCAGTGAATATCTTTTAAACCACCTTAAGGGGATTGAGTGCTCGAAAGTATTTTAAAAAAAACAACTGGGACTGTAGCACCCCTAATTAAGGGACTTAGTTATGCTTATGATTAAGGTTTTGGTATTCCTGGTTAATATATAATACATAGAACATAGATTTAGGATTTACATATTATGTATGTACGCATGTAAAGACAATACACTTACAAAGAACTTTGTGAAAAAAACAGAACAATATTTATTTTAATGTGTAATACAACACTTGTTCATATGAAAGAAAAAAAAACAGATTTTTCATATTAATATTATATAAAATATAATATTTCTACACGATAATATGCCGGTAAATAATATATACTTAACACTATTTTATTTTAAAAAAAATACGCGAAAATATTTGTATTATATTAGAATTACTAAAATATAGAGTGTGCCAAAAAAAACACAAATTTAAATTTCTGACAAGACTACTGTCCATCAAGTTTTGCTTATATTGATTTGTAACCTAGCCGGAAAAGAAATTATAAGAATACAATCACTTGAGTAATTAAAACATTTGGTTTTTGTTCTAGAATTAGCTCCTATCCTCCTATAGTGACCCCACCGAAGCATTTAATACTCTTCAACAACACCTCGAACAAATTGGAAAATGATCCTCAAACTGGAAAATTAAAATCAATGCAGAAAAATCTGTACATGTTTCTTTTACTCTCAACAAAAAATACGCCTAATCTCACCCTCCAAGAAGTTCCTATCCCTTCCTTGTCTCAAGTCAAACATCTGGGTATTATTTTAGTTAAATGACTAACCTGGGGCCCCCACCTAAAATCAAAAAGAAAGTCACTAAATACTCAATCGTACTTACTACGTCCTGTACTAAAACCAAAACTTCCTCCTTATTATAAAATGCATAAGTCCTTGTTAAAACCAATTTGGTCATACGGAGCTTTAATATGGGATTGTGCTACACCATCCCAACTAAAAAGAATAGAAGCTTTCCAATCAATTTTCCTCCGTATAAACACGTCCGCTCCATGGTATGTTTCCAACCTCACCGTTCACAATGACTTACACATTGAATCAGTTGAAAGTTTAGTTAAGGCTCACTATAAAAAGTTCCACTCAAGATTACTTCTCCAATCGAATCCATTGATCGCAAGCCAGCACACAGCCACTATTCCGGACTCAACCCCCTTTGCCGTCTAAAAATACAATGGTGTCGTGATCTTCTAAATTGCATCAATGCAACTATTTAATTGCTAGCCGAAACCTGTCTTAAGGGTCCTATCACTGGATAGCTTCCCTACTTGAAGTCTCCAAGTCATTTATTTACATTGTTAACATATTTGCTTATTGTATATTTTTCTTTATGTACAGATTGTAAATGTTAGTTAAAATAAAAAAGAATTGGCACACATTTATTATGTATACCTATTTGGATAGTGAACAAACAATTAAAGTCAATTTAGAGTAGAGTCACTTGTGGTTTTATTATACAATTGTGAATAAACCCTAACTTCAATAAAAATATACTTATTAGCGTATTACGGCGACTGTGTTGCCATCATCAGCGCAACTGCACACATTCGACATATCTTCAGAGTGAGAAGTAATACCTTTTTTCGGTGGCAAAAAAAATAGTCAATTTTAATAGCCGTTTTACTATATTTATATTAAAAATTAATTTCCTTATTTTTTGTCAATATTAACGGTACTGATAAATACTTGAATTTAAATTTTAATCTTAATTTTATTACTTGGGGCTATAATTATGTACAAAGTATATTAATAGTTTAGTACTGCACTAGTGACATATTTTATAAACATCTTTAAGAATTAGTTACAACAGGATTAGAACATAACATAAAACTTGAAAACTTAATAAAAAATATATATTGTTTCTCAAAAATATCTTCTGCACAGTATACTTAAAAACCATTATAACCTCGATTTTCTAGGGTAAGAATTTGATTACCTACACAGAATGCGTTTTACTCCCTCCATGATAGATTTAGAGCAAAAACGTTTAACATACAATTAAATAGAGGATGATACGTGTGAGGTAATGTTATAACCGCTTTTAAAAATATTTTCCACAAAAAAGTTATTATTGTTTTAAAAAAAGTTAGAAATGTATTTTTTCAGTATTCATATTACATATGAATCAAAATAATGATTTTATTATTGAAAAAAAAGTGAGAATCCCTCCAAAGTGAATTAATAATCGCGATAAGAAATTGTATTCTAAGACTATCATCGACCGAGTAAAACGCAATCTATGTTTTGATTGAACAATAATGAGCCGGCAATAAACAATCCTAATAACTGTGCAAATAAACATAAGAAATAGTTTTTTGGTTTAATTTTTTTTTCGAAAAATTAATTATATCCAACTTCTTAAGAAATAGCTGGTATAATGTCCTATTTACTCATTTACTATAGGCGTAACAAAAATAATCCGTATAAACAATAATCAATGACATACTACATTAAACGTTTAACTAATAAATAAACTAATGGAATGTTAATTATGATCCTGTTTAATCAAAAACAATTTCTATCCACGGCTTGTCAATACCGTTCCTATCTACGAAGTAAGTATAGAAACTGTCATTTTTCTCCACATCGTAAAATGTATGTTCATCTGTTTGACTCTTCTTGTGGTTTTCCTCGTCTTGAACGGTTTCACTGATAATACACATTTTATTCTTGCATGTAGCATTTTTTATCAATCGCCGATTGTCACTGCATTGTATCATCAAAGCTACTAATCGACATTTCATACCTGAATCAGTACAACACATTTTCTCCGAATCTAAAATAATACAAATAAATTAAATTTTTTCAATAGAAGTCTTTTTATTTCCAACATAAATCGTCACATTTTTATATTTTAGCTTCAACACGGAGCTGAAAAGAACTTGTGTTGACAATGGTGTATTTTTATTTATTTCCTAAGACGCTGAACCGATTTTTTCATATAGAAAGTCTAGAAATCATACTTAAAAGATTCTTTACTGGTCCACAAATGCCATTTCCACCTCAACCACGCTTATCACCACCCTTAGGTTCAAATGTTTAGTGTATTATTCTTGACTTGAAATTTACACAAAAAATATAATTGTAGTCGTGCTTTTTTTGGGGGGGAAACCCAAAATATCCAATGACATGATATTTCATAATTTTTACCATTTTCAGTTTTCCATCGAAGCTTTTATTTGCAAGATATTTTATTACTTCCAATTATAATAAAAATACAAATTAAAAATGTTTACATTAGACACCAAACCACACTAATAATTCAATTTTTTTGATAGTTAAAATATAGTTGTAAGCAACATGAAAAATTTCAAATTCGTTCATCAAGAATAATTTATTATTAAAAACAAAATCTAAAATGCATTACACTGGCCATCTTCCTCTTAAGGGGATTGCATGAGGTATGTTTTTTTTGACGTTTGGTCTAAAACGTTAAAAAAAACAGGTCTAGAACAGCCCGACAAAATGTCGACTACTTAAGATAGTCAATTCTCATTTCAGAGAATTCAATTCTGTAAAGATATAAGAGATTTTGGCAACTTTACTAAGTTATGAAAGAATCAGATTTTTGATTTTTTTTTGTGTAAAAAAATTTGTAAATAGAATGTTATTAACTCCAAGAAATTTATATTGTTTAATAAAAATCAACTTTCTACATAACATAGTAGTCAAAAAACTTTTTACAGTATTTAAATTGGACAATCCTATGATGTCAACATTGTATCTAACTTTTTAGTTTAAAATAAACCAAAATGGATGTTACTCGTAAAACAAATTATTTAAATTAAAAATAATACCTTGATGCTTATAAAAATTAACCGGTTAATTAATTGACATGGTTAAAATTTATTTAAACCACTTTTTTCTTATATATTGTCTACACAAAACTCTTTAAAAATAGACCACATGCAATCTCCTTAACTCAAGCAGTGAGTCAATACAAGATATAATTTCATAAAAAAAAAACAAATGTATATTGGTTAAATTGTATGAATAGTTTAGTTATTACCCAATATGTTGTACAGAAGCCTTTGCATTACCGGTAACAATAATCGTTTTCGTATATCCAATGCTCGTTCATACATTTTAAAAGAATCTGTTATAATATAAAATAGAGAATTAATAAATAAAAATTGTTTTAAAGAATTAACCTATTTAATTGTTTTAAATACATATTTTGTCGAATACAATTACCTTTAAAGTCTGTATTTTCAAAATCGACTTCTATTTCATCATCTTAAGAATACAATTTTTAAAAAAAATTAAAATTAGGTATAACTATAACTAATAATATAATATATTTGTCGAAAACTATTACCTTTAAAGTCTGTATTTTCAAAATCGACTTCTATTTCATCATCTTAAGAATACAATTTTTAAACAAAATTAAAATTAGGTATAACTATAACTAATAATATAATATATTTGTCGAAAACTATTACCTTTAAAGTCTGTATTTTCAAAATCGACTTCTATTTCATCATCTTAAGAATACATATTTTTTTTATCAATTACAAATAAGGTTAACTAAAACTCATAATATAATATATTTGTCGAAAAGTAGTACCTTTAAAGTCTTTATTTTCAATATCCACTTCTATTTCATCATCTTAAGAATACATTTTTTTTTATCAATTACAAATAAGGTTAACTAAAACTCATAATATAGAATATTTGTCGATAAGTAGTACCTTTAAAATCTTTATTTTCAGTATCCACTTCTATTTTAGTATCTTAAGAAAAAAAATTGTATTTATAAATTACAATTAGGTATAACTAAAACGCATAACTTATTATTTTCCTTTCATCGCCAAGTATAATTTATTTAATTTACTCATTTTAAAACAATGTTTTTACCATAAATATCAGAAATGACTCTTTGTATCCTTATTTCGTTTTCTACTATTTCCCAATCAAAATAATCTAAAATATATACACGATTATTTCCATAATATTATATTTAGAATTCTGCGTCATATCGTATTCTATTTCACTGTTATTTGGTCATTACACTTTGAAATCTCGGATTTTTCTAGTAGAACCCGTCAAAATAGCTTTGGCCGGTTTTTTTTACTTTTAAAATTTACAAAATATTTGTTAAAATGTAAAATTGTGTTTTACAATAATCACTGTGTATGTCATATTAGATTTTATTTTAAATTATTGTAGATAAACTTTTGACCAAATTTTGAAATATTTTAAAACATGGTCGATTGAGGGAAAATCATTTAATTTTTTTTCTTAAAAGTATCAAAATTATCTTTTTAACGTAGGGACGGGAAATGTTCTAATAAATAAATGTATACTAATCTTTTCTTGGGTTAAACACTAAAAAATTATTTTTTTTTTACTTTTTCCCCTTCCAACGAGCCAACAGAGATAAAATGTCGTTATTTAAGACACGAAAAGAATCATTCAAATTGGGTCAAGTAGTTTTCGAGAAGAGTGTTCGACAGCCACCAAAAACGCACGGAAAAAGACCTCAGTAATCTGTTTTTTTTTGTTGACATTTTGACCTCATTGTATTTTATTGTTACTTAATTTTCAGAGTATTTGTGCGATTGAAAAAATATAGTTCAGTTTTTGAAATTTCTTTCGCGAGACGGGTTGAAATAATAAATTCGAAAATACAAGAAAGCCTTTTTTATGGACACTATGTAAGTGTTATAAAATTGTGCTCGAAAATCTAAGATCATTTGCCGTGGAAAACATATAAATATATCATACACTTAGGGTGGATGTTATTATAAATCCTAGCCTTGCAAATAGGTTCTAAGCGAGTAAAACAACAATTATTCAAAAAAAAAAATTTTTAACAAATTAAGTTTTGTATTCACAAAAAAAAAAAAGGATGAAAAATAAGTTTTTGCTAGTGGTTCACAAATAAAGTATGATATGATACACTTTTCCATTCTAATGGTTCTTTCGAAAATAAAAAAGGCGAGTTCCACGAAATTTATTATTTGTTTAAAAAACTGAACTAAAACGACGGTATTTGTATATAATTTCTAAAGTAAGTTTCTAACTCTGTCTTTACCGTCGTCAACAACAAAAATATAAAAAAATAGTTGCATTTATGTCAAACTTCTTGCTCACGCCGCGAAGTAAAATGATTCAAATAAAAATGTCCACAAAAATTAATTTTTGTTACTTATTTGAAACCGATTTGTCGGGCACTAACATAAAGTTATCCAAAAACCCAATAAAAGCGCCTTATTTTGCTTAAGTAGGAACATACTTATCAATTATTCTAATATAAATAATGTTTTTATTTTATTAGAATTAGCAAGGATGTTAAACAAATGAAAAATTAAATTGCTTAAGTCTGTTTAAGAGTTGTATAGTTACCATATTGATACTTGTTAATCGTTGATAAATCTAAAATAAAAACAATCTATGGATACTATTTATCATACACCACCAACCAATATATTTTTATAAAAAATGTCAGACAGTTACAATAATTAATTTTTTTGTCGCAAGTGGTAATTACCTGGCGGAAAAAGAAGATGAGCCATTTCCTCTATAATAAAATGTATTTATATCAATTTGAATGATACAAACATATAATTTGTAAATAATTTTTTAATAAAAAAATTATTTTCTACGATGTTATATAATATATTGAATGTACTTGCCGTATTTAGTAATAATAACAAAACACATAAAAATAATGTCTCTTTTAACTATGAAAACAAAAACAATTCTGATGTATTCACATAATATGGCACACCAAGGTGTAGATTATAATTTATTTTAATGAATGGGTAATTTTACCTGGACTCAAGTTATATATAATTTCATCTGTAATAAATACAATATATAAATAATATTTATTTATTTACCTAAGTAGAAAAAAGTGTATTGCTTAGGTATTGCTTAGGTGCTATTGAGAGTACATTTAACAAATTAATTTCTTACTCGTCTTGTACATTTGTATACAGCTATCTAAAAAATGTTATAGTTTTTGAAATTTGCAAGTTGTCTCAAATGAAAATATTGATATGCAAACTTTAACCATTACATAATATAGTTTTTTTATTGTTAACGAATTAGACGTTCTTTATTTTATTGAAAGATAAATTAATTGTTTTTCAAATTCATATAGCTCAATAAAACAAACACAATAATATTAACGGGTAAAACAATAAATTATTTCTAATAAACATTTGTGATAAAAACAGAAAAAACTATAATAGTTGTCAGTCGTTACCTTCTAAGTCATTGCTAACAGTTTTACATATCATGAAATAACAACTAAATGTTGTGAACAACAAAAGCAATTTTTCTGTATTCACTGCCATTTGTATAACTATATTATCTGCAAACCAAATAATGAGAAACATAATTAATATTAATGGGAAAGAACTAATACAGTATACGCCTAGCTCTATAAAAAATATATTACAGTAATCTGTAAGAAATAAACAGTGTATTTTAAGAGGGTGCTTTAATTTGAAAATGTTTTAAATGCCATTATGTTAGATGTTTTATTTGGGGTTTACCCCTCCGACTGATAGTTTAAACCAAGAAATTTTCTAAAAAATACATTTTTCTGTTTTAGAAGAGTGAAAAATTACTATGTTTTAAATGTTTAATAAGACGAAATTTTGAATACTTTTAAATTTAAAAACGCATACTTAGTTTGTCCTCTAAAATTTGTCATCACCTCTCCATAGGTGTTTAGCTCTTAAACCATAACAGATTCTATGTTACTATTTTTCGGTTAGAAAGATAGTGAAAACGTTTTTATGTTCTTAATGATGGCTAGGAAAAAAATTACCAATAAAAAATCGTTGATTCAGGCAATTAAAATTCTACGGAAAGTTGCCTTTGCCGAACCACTTACTAAACGGGAAATAACACCCTCATAAAGTATTTTTATCGCTATAAAATACATAACACTATTTTGAAATTAACAGCTTCTCCCGTGCTTACTATATTAACATTTTGCTGTGCTTACCCTTTAGAATTAACTCACTTAAATATTTAATTCTACATAATAATAGTTTGTTTCCATTCAAACTCTGTCTACCTACTTTGAAAATCTATGAAAATATAACAAAATAAATATTTTTCAAAAAGAATAATACTTACCGTGACCTACTGGTTTATACACTTAATAGTCACACACTGCGATATTGTTTTTCTTTCAATTTTTTCATAAACTTTTTATGTATCACATGTGTCTCATGTGTTGCATTAGAGTAAATAGTTGAACACTTGTTTAATGTTCATACATACACTGACATAAGATTTACTATTTTGCAAAAATATTATATTACCTGAACGTGTTATAAAAGTCTATACCTAATTATGTAATGATTTAAAGAAAATTTTGTTGTTTGAAGCTCAGAATATATTGATTTTTACATTGACGTGTTTCTTTTTTTAAGCCTGTACTCTGTAATCTGTACCCATAACATTTTTTATAATTTTGACTTGCTTGTATTTAATACATAATAATAACCAATAGTGTATGATGTCTTTAAGTTTAGATAGTATACTCAATGATAATATCAAAGTATTATTATTATCATGACATGTTACAAATCAGTACAACGCCTCGTTACAACTAAAACATACTATTCACATGTTGTATTGTGTTATGTACATACGACACATTGTATAAATTAATTAACTATTATGTAATAATTAATAACATAATATATGTTATACATGGTGCAAACTATCACTCCTCATAATATTTTTTAATTAATATTATTATTATGGTTTATTAATTATTACACAGCTATTTCGTTATTAGAAAAGATTAAAAAAACATATATATATTTAAAATGTTATTTGCATTAACTTAATGCCTCTGTAGTGGCGCAGTTGTGATAAGGCACAATACATCACATTATGTGTCCCACACATACTAAGACGAAATCAAATTATCAATACAGTACACATTGTTTTCAAAAGTAAAGTTCTGTCAATTTGAAAATTTTATTCAAAACAAAATGTCCACAAATCACATCAGAAGGTCAAAAGACTAGTATCACAAACACCCACATGATGATAGCTGGCGTTTTGCCTATTATTATTTTGCGCAGACAATAACCCTTTAATAAGTTGGCCAAGGCCAAAGCATGTGTTTTTTAACTTTTAAACAGCAAAAACCATGAGGTGCCTGTTTTTCATCAAGATTAAAATTTTACATTTTTTTTTTCAAAAGTGTTACACAAAAATGCTATCATATGATAATTATTGTTTTGTTTTCAAAATAAAAACGAAAATCATCTCAAACATTGAGTATTAAATATTATCAGTGTCGTTAGCTAATAATGTGTTCGGATCCCGTTAGGTACATAATTTTTTTACCTTATGCTTATCAATTACCATCGACTAACTGCGATTTACCACCCTACCATACTTATGTAGTGTCATAACAAATGCATATATCTGGCTAAAAAGCGAGATAAAACCTTAATAAGTAAAATATCGTCCAGCTGCTCAATCCATGGGTTGCTACGAGGACACTCCATAATATTCAGCGCACGCAGTATACAGTGTTCACATAATCAACAGATAGTCGCTTTAATATAAGATACCAATTACTTATAGCATCAATGCGAAGCTAAGAAGATGTTCATTTTACAAAGACAAGCTTTTCTTTTGTTCTTTTGCGTCTGGACTCGCGTTAACTTTTTAACCGCCAAACTGATTTCTTTAAGTAACCAGCCTGTACATTGGAAATCGTTCGACAAAGGTTTCTTGGTAAAGCCAAAAGTCTTTTCACCTGTCCCCCTTTGGGAGCATGATATCACTCTTAATTATTAAGGGGTTCGGTATAGGCAATTTGTTTGTAAAATTTAGATTTAAAAATTCTTAGTATTAGTAACAATAACAATAATAACCAATCTAATTGTTATTATTCCTACTAATAAAAAAATAATTGTTTATAATGTAAAATGCGTAATTTTTGTTTATGGAAATTAATAGTCAACAGTTCTTCGAGGAAAAATGATATTTTTATTTTAATAAATAGCAGTTTTTTATTAAAGTTTATAACCTCCGTTAAAAGAACGCTTTGTCTCTATTTACTAATGGTTAAGTATAGGAGATTGATGTTTATAATAATTAGCTCAGCACTGAGAGTTCTTGAACGATAATTTTTTTTTATCAGTGGCTATTATAGCATTTATAAAATATTTTTCTAACTTAAACATAAAGCTACACCGCTCCCGTTTCGCTAGGTCCATGATAGTTAAATGATTAAATTAAGAATTTATGTTTTGAAATTTCTGTATAACAGTGTATGGATGAGAAATATCGATATTTTTATTTTAAAAATGTTAAAGCTATAATTTGATGAGATTGTACATCATATTATCAGCACAATAATTGCTTGAAATGTTGATTTATATTATTCAGCCCATTTAGATATCACTATGTCTTTTGTTGCACATTTTGCAGATTTCTAAAACATAAGTACATTGAAATCGACAACTATTTTTGCTAATGTTGTTTATTTCTTTTGTTTTGGGTCAATAAACTGAATGAATCGCATCATTGCACGTGATTTAGAAATATTCGAGGAAGCTAAAATGCTAAAACTATTCTAAATGAATATTTGTGTTAGTTATATCGTCATGTATCACGACAGTCGTGAATCAACAAATGATTCAGTTAGTGTAGGTGTCATTAATACAAATATCAGTAAATAACATGTTGTTGATAAACATGATATTCATATTGTTCAAGTACAAGTAACCACTGTAAAAGTAATTTAAACGATTTTTATCATTTCAACTGCAACCATCTAGACATTTAAAATGTTCAAATGTACAATACATTTTTGTTTCATTGCTTACTATTTATATTAAACAATTATATAATAATATGTCGGTTCCTATTTTTATACTTTTAAAAGTTTCAATAAAAAATTACTCATCAAGAAGATACATTTAATAATTTCATATTGTCTAAATTTGTATATGAAGCTTTTTAAAGTTACAAAACATTTTCAAAAAATCTTTTACACTGGAGTGGCACCAAAATAAATCGATTTTTGGATTTTAAAACACATTCTAAAAAGTTATACAACAATATACCAGTGAAAAATTTGTTCGGTTGTTGCCTAAAATGTGTTTATGATGTATGAAAACTATGTATTATTAGCAGGGCTCGGAAGTTGTAGCATTTCTGACTTATTTATTTTTGTTAATCTTAGAACATCCCAAGTAAGATACAAATTTGTTTCACACTTTCCTAATGTCATAAATTAATTTTTGTTGCTAATTTTTGCATATTTACTTGTCATTTTTTTGACAATTTTATTTTGCATATTTTTCAGTACTTAGATGCTATGTATGCATGTTTTGGTATTTCTAAGTGTAATTAAAGCGCTAAAAAATACTTTTTATTTTTGTTAGTGATATAACTTCCGATCCCTAATTATTAGTAATGAAGCGCTACGTAGTCAAACTTTGCTTTTAATTTTAAAATGTCCCAAATTGAAATTACAAAAGTTTTGGTTGATTGTATTTTTGGGCAAGTGGGAAAAAAACGTTAGCCCATGTTGTTTACTCAACTACTAGTGAACAGTGTACAAGAGCTACTAAATATGTATTGTTCTCTTCTAGCAAATTTGGACTGATGAGACTTGTGAGCAAAAACTCCAAGTGGTTGACTTATAAATGAAAACATGGATGCACGAGGAGTAGAATAGATGAAAACGAATAACCGACACATTTCTAGTGTGAACTATTTTTTTGTTATGCGTGCTAACTTAAAATCAAAATACCTAGTACAAAAAAACATTTGATAAGTAAAAACATATTATACAAATGGAAAACAATTTTAAATCAGTTTTTTCATTAATAAAACATCAAAATATGTGACCAATAAATAGCCTCACCTAAGAGCCTAGTCTTGATTTATGGGCGTTTTAAAATAGAATAATTGAAATATTTTTACAAGTTTTGCCAGTCCTTGCTCGTGCAAATACCCGTCGGCCTATTATTAGGAAACACGTGGAATTGTTGCATCCGAACAAGAGCTTTTGTCCACAATAAGGGCCGCTCTAATCTCTTTGTTTTCCCGGCACAACATTATTATTGTCACGGCCCGTTTTGTTTCTTCCCACAGGCATCATGGGCCTTTGTAAGAGTTGCCGTTTTGGCATTGTTTCGGGCTATATTGTTGACGTTGTGCGCGGCACGTAGGAAGGTACAACGACTCCGGGAATTGACATGAGAAACGACGAAGTTGTGTTTAATAATCTTTGCCAATTTCCAAAACAAAAAGCAATGACTACATGGACAAAGAGAAAAAAGAATTCTGCGAAAAACCTAGTACGAATATCTGCGTACGAGTCTAGGCGTGACTTCGTGGCTTGGGCAGCAGCTGACTATCCCTGTGGATACAACAAAACGGCGATGACTAAAAATAACCGACAGCTAAACATAAACGGCTACCGTACGGCTGTCGAGGTGAACCGCACGCGACCGACACGAGCGAGCCGCCGCCCCGCCGCTGTACCATTGTCAAATAGCTGCATCAGATGTAGTATATTATTATTATACACATTGTGTTACAAATGATAAAAACCCATCGGACGGTCTGGTACGGTATACAGTGCCCGGCGGTCCGCGGTCCCCGTCAGAGTGCCCTTACGGTTTGTGTGTGTTATCCACAGTCCGTGGTATATAGTTTTTTGTAATTGTTTTTTTTTGTTTTCTCACATTTTTCACATCACTTTGTTCGATTCGCTATACGGTGTAACGCGACAACCGGCGTTGGAAAGAAAAGGAAATAGAAAACTGATAATATACACATTTTTTTTTCTCCTGTCCAAAATGAGACCGCCAATCGAAGAGGAAATCGAAGCGGCAGAAGTGGAAGTGGCTGACAACCACTATGCTGCCATGTCGTTGGTGACGACCAGACTGGCCGGAAACGCGGTAATCCGCGTGGTCAACCGTTGTAACGAGGCGCAAGAGAGCTGCAATTTGGGTAATGAACCCTTGACCTTTGTATAGTATATAATATTACATTTAGTTATATTCTGTAACAGCATAAGAGTGGCTGTGGCAACGTTGCACGTTATATTTTTTGAAATTTTACTGGGGAGTATTTTTTTCCTAAACCGATAAATACTACAAGGCTGTTAAACCACATTCTGCACTATTTACCGGTTAATTTTGAGTACTAACTCTTACATAACATTCCAATTCAGCAAAGAAAGTTGTTCTGGAAAAAAAAGACTATCAAATGTAACGTTGCTCCAGCCACCCTTTGTTGTGCCTAGGATGTTGAGAGCACAGGAAGTGTGTTATGGTATAGTACTGTATTAATGTGTCACACAAATCAACCGCAGAGTATACTTTAGTATTATTCTTTATTTGATACATCTTACACGTTTTTATAATCAAAACAGTGTCTTTATGTGTTAGATAATTTTACAACTTTAGACTTTTCGAAAACAAAAAATGAGATGCACAATTGAAATTTCGCTATTATACCAACAAGGTACTTGAGTGGTGTTTATAGAACTCTAATGATAATTTCTAGACCACCATGCTGTTCTACAAAGCTAAAAAATTACAAATAAAAAAAAACGCAATCAACACTCACCGCTAGGTCTTGCGAAAGGCAATTATTATGCTTTTAAACATATTATATTTTATTCACTTAAGAAATTCTTCTGCGCTAGACCGGATCTGTGTGTATGAACGCGTTACCCCGCGAGCACACTCGGATTGACGATTGTTTTATTTTTTGCCAAATACATACTTATGCTACAGAAAAAGCGTTCAGTCATACTTGCGGCTGGTTAATAATTACTGAGGTTATAATTTTATAGCTGAACATAATATATTTTAAAGATTTTTCTTTTTTGTCTTCAAACACGCTACTGTTTTTATATTCCCTGTGTATTATAAGTATCGTAAACGCGTTAAGATAATAACAATAGATTTCCCGACTTTCTCCGCGTATCAGTCGACCGTGAGATAACTTACTCGCAAGATCCGGCGTTTTTATTATTGTGTTTGATGTGTAAACAATTAATTAGCACCAGAGCTAGACAGTCTGGCCAATAATTATTATGTAGTTAAAGATTTACAAAATTCAGTAACTGTAACTTTTAACCTGTTGATAGACGATCTAAACTTATTTTAAAAATTATGTTTACTTTCAATAGTCACTACGGTTAAAAAATAAAGGTTTTTTCATTTTTATCCTCGAGATAGGGTTAAACGTAAATATAATGTAAAGAAATGAGAATAATGTAAATCATTTATAATTGTTCGCAAAAACAATTAACAATTGCCTATACTTTCGCCCCATATACTTACTATGTCCTATTCGACCTTAATATGTTTCTTGTGACTGGGACAATGTATATTTATACTTCCAAAATTATTCCTTCCAATTATGAAATATTGTATTATCCAAATAATATTATGTTTACACCATACTTTAACAGGAAATTCAATAACAATAACACTATTTTTTTATCGACATTTCCTTATATTTTAAATGTAGTAGTTGAATAATTTTTTCCCAAATCCTCAAACAATAATTATGACATGCTTATAATATTTTCCATCTAATCTCAACAGAGCATTTGGAAAATATTCGTTGTTGTGTGACATTAACCCACTGTAGTACTGACCACTTGAAGTTGAAACAATACAGCTTCAACGTTTTACAATTTTACAATAACCCAATCACATTAACCAGTGTCTTTGGGTTTTGCGATCAACGATACATTCTCGTGTAAACGGTATAACGGTTATTTCGTTTACGCGTTTATAACAATTTCACTTAGGTGTACAGTCAAGTTTTTTTTGTACTTTTTGTATACCAGACTTTGGAAAAAAAAAATAACACCTGACTATGACGTATACCTACTACGCTTCCGCAACAACGGCGGCGCGCATACATAATCCAATTTCCTCGTCTAAAGCGTTTTCCCAAAGCTATTAGGACTCCCGCCTCCCCATCAAAAAAAAAAAAAAATATATATATATATGTAAATACCAAACCCGACCAACATCCATCTAAAACGTTAAAAAAAAATGTTTATTTTTGCAGTGTTCGCTAAAAATTGGTTAGGAAAAATATTGATATGATATTTAAAGCCCTTTGCCAGCTTTTGCATAGGCCACAATATATTATATTAACATTATAACCTAAGCCTGTATCGAGTATAAAGTACAAAGTATTGGAAGTGCCACAGACTATGTTTCCGCAAAGTGTCAACGTTTTTTAAAAACACATTTTTTTTTAAGTATGAAAATCATTGCGATGAGTTAGTCGATTCCGGTTTGTGCGCGATGGTTATGCACCTTATATGGCTGATAGACATTGAAACGGACATTTGCGCGGAAAGCGTGTACACTGTAGTATGCATAGTATGCCTATAGGTATCATACCTATCACTTAGGTCGACCTTGTGCGGTCTACATGTGGACTTCCTGAACGGGCGACCGCTAATCCCCGCCACGCGTTGTATTTCGTGACGGGCCTAAAGAAGAAGTAATTCTTTCACAACAACAAAAAAAAAACCTTTTGTCTTTTGTTGTACATAAACGTCGTCGTAGAAGCATTAGATTATACGATACACATATTGTGTTCTGTATGTATATACCTACTCAATGGTATAAATAAGCACAAAACGTATCGCGCTATTTGACTCAATTAGCTCGACACAAAGGTACGAAAATAGTATTTTTAGTTTTTATTAACGCACCAAGAAATTTTCTCGTTTCTCGAAGGCGCACGACGAATATTTCATAAGAAAACAAAGTTGATTTATATTATGGAGAAAGGCCTGCTCGAGATTGCTCGTCATTTGCAGTTGTATAATTTTTTTATTTTATTTTAATAATGGTTATTTTTTGTATGTGCGCGCTAAAAGGACAACTGCGCAGCCGGTAGGAAATAAATCTAAAAAAATCTTTTTGTTTATGTTATTTTAGATCTGTCAGAGTGCCAACTAATGCAGATTCCCGACGCAATTTACCTACTCATGCAAAACACAAACTTGACCACGTGCGATTTATCCAACAACGTAATTTCAAAACTTCCCCCCAAGTTCCCGGAGCGGTTTACGGCCATTACAGGTAAAGTATTTAAGTGCGCTAATGGTCCTTAGCATCACAATGATTCAGTCGATTCATATTATACTTCAACTAAAACCGCAACCCACATGGTTGAGTATTGAGTGTTCTGTGTTTGTTTTTTTCTAACCAATCAAAGTGTTTTCAGTAATATCACTAAAACTGCACTTATTTTAAACTGCATTGATCGCGCAAGTTCATAATGCAAACATCAGTAACCTAATGCTGACTAATATAAAATAGATGTACCAACCTAATGTAGGTTACTACATACTATGAAGAACGAATAAGCTTTTATTTATTGATCCATGGGTTAATATGGCCTGTACAAGTAATTAGTGACTAGAAGACAATATTTCCATTGAACTCTTCAATAACTGTCTCAAAGGGATTGCATGCGATCTGTTTTTTTGACGTTTAGACCAAAATGCCAAACAAAATTTCGACTACTTAGGATAGTCCGATTTCCATTCTGTAAAGAATAAAGATATACGAGTTCTTTGGCAACTTTACTGGGTTTTGTAAGAAACAGATTTTAGATTTTTTGATTTTTTTTATAAATAAATTGGTTTTATTAGTGAAAAAATTGAAAATTTTATTTTATTAACTACAAGAATTTGAAATTTTTGAATGAAAATCGGCTTGCTACATAACATAGTAATGTAGCCAAAGAACTCAAATCTTTTAACAGAACTCAAATAGGACTATCCTATGTAGTCAAAATTGTATCTAGCTTTTTGGTCTAAGCTAAACAGTAAACCAAAATGGCTGTTACTCATAAAAAAAAAATTTTTAATTAAAAAATATACATTGAAACTTATACAAATTAACCGGTAAATTAAAATTACTATTTTACTTAAATATTGCCTATACAAAACTCCTTAAAAATAGACCGCATGCAATAAATCCTCGGATATTCTCCATAACCTAACCTAACGCGTTGTTCGTAAGTTTATGACTGATTCTCAATTTTTTTTATTTAATCAATCCGACTTTGATAACCATTATAATTCTGTTAGTAGATTTATTTGGTTATCGAATCTATTAGTATATCGCTTATTTTGCTAAAAAGAGACCACCACTCATTAACGTATTTAGGTATTTTTAGGAGAAAAATCAATATTTTATGTTAAAACACAAATAGAAACACTTAAAAAACTTGGTAAAATGTCGGTTGTATTAGGCCTATTAACCTATTCACTTGCACTTAGTGAATATGCCACACAGTCACAATATGAAAACTTGGATATAACAATCTTATATCCATCTATTTTATGTCAACCTATTTTGTGCTTATCAATCCAACCATGTATTAGGGTTGTGATTTACATTAGACTAATCAAATTGTTGAGGTATTCGAATACTTGGATTCAATGCCTAATTTTTAAAAATTAGGCCAACTATTCGAATAATTATCATTCTTTTACACTACCACGTCAGATCCTCTTAAAATGTAAAACATTTGATAACTAACTTTCATTATTCTATTATAAAGTTGTAATAATTATCAATAAGTATAAAACTAAGTGAATAAAACGACATGTATTTATTTTATGATATGTAATCATCATGTAGCTGTGCGTATAATTCATTTATAATATATTTGAAAATACTTATTCAAATAGGTAAATAAAATATTTCAATATTATTTCAAAGAAAATAGTTTTTACCGAAAATAACTCTACTACATTAATTATTGTAAATTGGTTATTTTTAATATAAATAAAAGATGTGGTAAATTGAATAATTTTTAATCATAGACGTTTAGTATATAATATAAATATTGTACAACCAAAAACTCATTTTTGTAAAAGTAATTAAAATATAAATTTCTTAACCTCTTATCACTTCAAATCCACATATTATTATTATTATATCGAGAATGAACTTAACTTAGATCTGCAGACTTTTAGTTATTATATATTTTAATAATTAGGAATAATTTGGCTATCCGATTTCAACTAGTGATAGGGAGACTAATAGGTATCTTTCCAAGCCCCCTATTTGCACATTTGAGTATATCTATAAGTCATAATAATCTAATAAACAAAGTAGAACTTTGAGTACCTAACTATAAATGTTAAATTTATGATAAATAGCCTATGTCACAATGATACGATTTTACTTATTTAACACAACGTTGTTAAAGCAATTATGTTTACTATATAAGTCCTTCTAATATTGTATAAAACAATGTGTCTACAGAACTGTTTCGGTTGTATAATGTATTAATAATGCATTGTTTTCACTTTTCAAAATTACTAATACAATGCTTTTTGCATTTTAAAATTGTTTTTAAATCAAATCAAATATTATATTAATTATAAACTATTAAAACACAAACACTCTTCTGGACCCTTGCAAGAAATGCGATACAATTAATGTTTTAGTATTGTTTATTTTACACTAAAATGATGATGTTGTCCAAGTGTTATGGTTAGTCTTTTTTCAAGGATTAAAAATCGTAATTAGAAGCTTCGAAAATAATTCTCCAGACCTAATTAACAACCTAGCGAGCTAATTTCCTAACTAGGAAGCAATAATTACCCAGAAGTAATTTACATAAACGTTGTTATATTTAACACTTAGTGAACGCTTGGGTTGAGTACAATATTGAAAATATTTTTAAAAATCGCAGTTATTGCAATAGTATAAACCGACAATAATGTTTTTTTAAATTTTAGATTACATATTTAGGCAAATGCTTTAACGGTTTGCAAACAATTTTTACCCTTAAAATTACTCGAATAATAATTATTACTTGATAAGATTTCGTATTTGTCCATTATGAAGTTAATAATGACCATATTAGACACAATAATATGTGTTTAGACAAAAATGACAAATTTATCATTAAATAGCTGAAATTTTATGATTTCTGACAAATTATGACAAATTTACTATATCGACTATCTTCTTGTCTATACTATTGAGTATTGATTATACAATATATTGCTGATTAAAAAACAAATCTGAAAAGGGCTTAACATTTTTGACTAGTTAAAATTAAAAAATGACCCATGCCAATTTATATTGCCAATGTTCTAGCACCACGTTGAGATAATTGCTAAACCCTATTCAAATATCGGCTATTTATTTTATATACTTTACACGCATCCCTATTATTTAATTTTTATCTATAGCATATCAATCATACAATAAATTGCGTGCAATAATGCATAGACAAAATTACAATGTTTTGGTCTTGTCATAAACAACGTTATTGTTTACGTAAAAACAATAAATTAGTACGGTATAATACAATATCGACAAATAAGGATCTGCCTTATAATTTTTTAGGCTAATTCTATTTTTATACTAGTTTTTTAATAGTTCATTTTTGGATGCAATATTAAATCTCGAATATCTATCATCACTGACGTTAACAAATTACATACATTACAAAAAAAAAACCATGTGTGCCTACTGTCTATTTTAATAATGTGTTTTGTATTAGGTATATTAAGTCTATTATGCAATCGTTATTTGCTACAATTGTTTTAAAACGTCAAATTATATTTTATCATGATAGAAATGTATAATTGTACGGCCATTAAACGTTTCTCGCTTGATTTTTTTTTACAGAGTTGAATTTATCTCATAATCAAATCAGTAAATTGCCAAATCAACTATCGGAGATGAAATCTCTTCAGAAACTGAATATCTCTCACAATTCTTTTGTCGAGTTACCAGAATCGATCAGTGAGCTAAAAGAATTGTGCACGCTTATTGCCAGCCACAATTTTATAATTGGTAAACAAATAAATAAATAACGTTTATATACTAGCAATTATTGCTTTACTCTAACCATTATGAAAAAACAATTATGTCTAGGGTGGCCGGGGGTGTAAAAAAGAATTTTGGGGAGGTGTTTGACATGCCAGCCGTTATTGATCATTATTGTATTTGGTTGTGTTTAAATAGCATGACGTTATAATATCGTTGATGACTTTTAGATGTTAATTTCAAATCGTTGGAGTCGTGTTTGAGACAATTGAAAGAAGCGGATTTCTCAGAGAACCCGTTGAACGAGTCGACACTGGACATGTTGACACAACAATTACCCTTCAGGGTGCATTTTACGGCCCCCAACGACGAAGACTGGAGAGACTTAGACAACTGATAAATGCTATTGTAGAGATTATAACAAAAGAAAAAAAAGTGATTCATAATACAGAAATATATTTTTAATTAGCTAATAAAATGTTTTTATTTCATTATTTTTTTTATCATAATTCTTTTTTTAATTATTATTATTTTTGGCGGTTCGTTCGCTCCGAAATAACAACTGAAATGAATAATTACATAAAATAATAAAATTTGGGTCCCTACCCACATATCACTGCATATATGCCATCAAATTTTTTTACACATACATATCATTATTGTAATAACAATATACATTACATAAATTATATTCTTGTTTTTTTTTGTATTTACACTTAAATAAATGACGTTAAAAGTTTTGTTGTTGTTTACAAGCATAACAATTAATAAATAAATAAAATAAAAATAATAATAATAATATATTCTAAATAAGAGTGTTTTTTGGTTGTAATAATAATATGATGTAGATTATAATTATTATTAAAATGACAATAGTTATTAGTTTTACAATTTTTTTTTTATTGTACAAAGAAATAAAAAGTAAAACCAAAGAGATTTTTTTTGTACAAGACAAAACAGAAAATAAAATCATAAGTTATCACAATGTCAACTACATTGTATAGAAATTATATTATATAAATATATAATATATATTTATATAATGTATTTATAGACATATTATAATTATTATTATTAATTTTGTTTAACTAATGAAATAAAATGTTTTAAAAAACTGTTTTCTACTATTTTTTATAATGATTATTACCTAATTACCATTATTGGTTTTATTAGTATTATTATTATTATTATTATCCAACATTGCATAGTCTATATCAATCATAATCGTTTGGTTTTTTTTTTTATAAATTATACTATACTTAACGTGGTTCTCCCTTATCACTCAACCATTTTCCATTAATGACCTATACGAAATTGAGACATTTTTGTAAAAAAAATTTTTTTATGTCATTTCGCTGTTTTGCCACCGTTGATGGAAAATTTGTTTTACAATCAAAATATTATATTATCTATTTTTGATAAATAACCGCCATTGACTAAACCGAATGATTGTAATATTGATCAAACGACGTCGATTGAAAATAATATTAATAATAATAATAATAACTTACAGTAGTAATAATAAATAATGTATAATGAACGGCTATGAGTACCGTGTTTGTCGATCCCGGCAAAAATCAATATTTTGTATTTTTACACAAATCCGGTCGATAGAAACAACAAAACAATTTGCTAAATAAAGTGTTAACGAAATGACTAGACACTATTTCATTTAGAATAATAATAATGATGATAATAATAATAATTTAAAAAAATGAACATTATAAACATAATTGTGTAGCTATAATAATAATAACAATAGTAATACAACATAATAATAGTCTATCTGGTCGATCGAAAACGATAAAAGAATAAAAAAAATCATAGAAATACAATAATTGCTATTAATATTAGTATAGTATACCGCCGATCTTATTAGCCTTTACAATAAGACACCGAGGATAAACGGAGACACGCACTGTTGCCTCGGGGTAAGAATATTATTATATAATTATTATTATTCGTTTACAATCGGATCCGCGTAAGATCAGTAAGGATTGTAAGTAGTGATAATAAAAAAAGTCCATACACCATTAACACATAAGTTAAATCATGACGTATTGCCATAATAATTATAGAGTAGTTTTTTACAAGTTCACCTCAATTATACATACAGTCGGTAAAAAATCAGTGTCAGGAGTACAATATAGGCAACAGCACCAACACCGGCAACACTATTCGTCCACAATCGATAAAACAGAAACGACTAAAAACGTGTACTCGACCGACCAGACAAAGACCAGAGAGTCTTTGTTTCGTTTCCAAACCGAAAGCAACATTACGGTAAGATCATAAACTATTATTATTTATTATCATTATAGTTACACAAATAATAGTGGTAAAAAAAAAAATCGTTATAAATCTAATATACGCGAAAAATTACAATAAATAAAAAGAAAAAAAAATTGATTCCAATTAGCTATATCAGTATTATCACTATATATGTATATATTGTATATAAGTATGTGTATAAAAATGCAGTTAATACACGTAAGATATTAAATCTGTTACAAACTTATTGCGTGTATTACAATATTAATAATAGTATTGTTTTTTTTATCACATAATTACGCGGATTATCAAAATATACACACGATTAATATATTATTATAATTAAAAATATATTCGCTCGTGTACCGTCTCGATCGCGTGTGTCCGATTATCGACATAAAGTCCCCGCAAAACAAAAAAAAAACTGAAATCAAAACCCCCATACAAAAAAAGTCTTATAAAATGTCTCACGTCGGTACATTATTATTAGGTATTATTATTATAATAACACAAGTGCGCGGCGGGCCTTTGTGAGTTCAAAAGAGGATACCGTTATACTATAAATGTTGATGATACATATAATGGCACCGCCTTGGCGACGACATTGGGTCGTCGGAAAGCTTGTTTTGTCCACGTTTTCTTTTCTTTTTTTCCCCATAAAAATGATATCGTTCAGTACTTTGCACGTGGCTTTGGGCTTTGGGCTGTGGCAATGGATAGCAGCAAGCGACTATTGGCTCATCGTTTGCTGTTTGTCCACGTGACTTAGACACGGCACCATGGTCAGACTAGACAGGCTTTGGATGTCGTCCACGGCTGAAGGAAATCCCATGGTAGCCTTCGACAAACACCTATAGACAAAAGTATAGCGATAGTAAAACGAATCATAATATGTCTTCTCGTTTATCAAATTAGTACTATGCAGAATCTCAATTAAAAAAAAATACTATGTTAGTTCTACACGTTAGTGGTGTATGGATAAGTAATTTTAGGATAGGTAAACGAGAAGACGGCGACCTCATTTTTTACATGTCCTCTCCAATTTAATCTAATCTGTGTGCATCCATCTCGTGAATGCACGTTTGCCACAGTGTTGTTTTATGTAGTTTAATGTATGTACCTGGAGGTCATGCTATTGCACCGTAGTACGGAATCCATCTCGGAAGAAGACCCTGATAACGTCAGACCGGACGTCGAACTGGACCGATGGGGCTGCTGTGACAGTTTGCCACTGCAATCCGAAGCCGACGGCCATATCGTCCGGTTAGGTGGTCCCCTGATACACTTTTGGTAAATTTCTCGTTCCTGTGGAAAAACAACTCATAAATATCACGTGGTAGATACCCGAACGTCTGGGCCTAGCCCTTGGATAGAATAAGTAAAAAAAAAAAACTGGTAGTGAGATACGCGGTTATTGCATTATGAGATTTAGAGCTGCCATTATTTTTTATTGAACTTAAAATATAGTAAATATCCTAAAGCAGGATTGCACGAACGCGAGGTAATAATTGTTAAACGAATCAACAAAAAAGTATTGGTTGATTGAACACAATTCAGCGGGCGTTATTACAGATCTTTAAAATTTTAATTGAGTTTATAAGTATTTTGCGCGACCAGGCATAAGAAGGAAAAAGTTTACACCTAATCTGTTCCGACAACGTCATTGCTAAAACTTTAGCGTTTTGAAATCTCGAGTACCTAAGACTTCGAGTTTCCTCGGTACCGTCTGCCCGTGTGTACGAGTGCTGATTGCATAATATTATTATGTTGGAAGAATCCAGTTCTATATTATGTAGGTATATACCTGTTCGGAGTTTCGCAGATGCAACTTGGCCATGCTACCATACGGGTACTCTTCGCCGTCCGGCAAATGGATCCGGGGTGGTAAGTCCAACTCCAGGTCGGTCCGGACCGAGTGCAACCGGACCTGCCGGTCGTGTTCTCGGGTCAGACCGTTGTTGCTTCGCATTGTCAACATCTACGGCAAAAAGAGAAACAAAAACCACGATTATTACACTTATAAACTGTATGTGCGTTTCTTTACAAACCGACTGTACAACACGGTCACGAACGAGACTCGGTGGCAGTGGCTCTGTTTGTACAGCGTACCTCCTCGCTCGACGACATATGTCGGACGGAGTAAAAAAAAACCGTTATTACTCAAAGGTCTCCCCCAGAAATAACGCCCTTTCTCCCTAATTTTTGGGTGGGAAAACTCGTGTGACGGTCCCGAGATGGGACAAGTCCCGGCGGCGCTATACCACCACCGCCCTCGAGGGGTGCACACACAAAGAAAGGGATACTTTACTATGCACTACCTCATTCACCGCTGTACAACTGAATATACATCCCTCTTTACTACATTTTGACCGCTGACACACTTCGTAACGTCTTCAGCAACGTTTTTAGTCGAATTTAACCGAAACTAAAAATATGTGTTTTAGAGATAGCCGATAGGTATAATATCAAGTCGTTAAAGTGGCGAGAGTTCACCGCTCAATTGTTGACCTCACACTGCGGTTGCTACAGAATTTATAAAGTTTACAGTGAAATAGTTTTAACTTTGCCGAAACGGTTCTGTTTCAAAAGCAATTTGAGACAAATTTCGACCGCGCAGAACACCACCGACGCCATTTCCTCTGGGGACAAAGTGTAGGGTTTATGAACTCTGGGTAACATTTCAACCACGAAGAATTAGATTTATTAAAGCCATAAATTACATAAATATCACATGAATAATTTTCGGATATATCCGCGTCAATGGTTGTTAACCAACGTATCGGACCCAGTCCGAAACGTTGGTTAACGTTGAGTCAGTACAATCACGGCAGCGGAACAGTCGTGACATGACCCTGAAGATGGACCCTGCAAAGGGTCCGAAACGTTGGTTAACAACCATTGACGCGGATATATCCGAAAATTATTCATGTGATATTTAAATCCGCGAAAGCTTCAACACATTCTTACATAAATATGTTTTATGTACACTCTGACACGAAATATCATTAAAAACTAACCGTCTCAAGGTATTTTAAAGAGACTTCAGAGCGCCTCCTTACAATAAAATTGTACTCATCTTTTCGAATGACCCTTTCTTTCCATGCCCTTTCTACCAACAAATTCGTCGGTTAGGTAAAAACAGTAGATTGTTACAAAAACCTGATAGGTTTGCCTCCTGAGGCCTTATCCGTTTGTTATATTATATATAGTATTAAAAAAATAAATTATAAACTCTATGGAAAACCTTTATTTTTTTAAACCTACCTTTCGAAAGAGGTACGGACAACTTCGTCTTAGCCGCCATTGTACATATAGATTTTCAAAATTAATTTCAACTTTAAGAGGTCACATATGCGGTGTTGTACAAACAGTCAAATAATTTTCAATCAAAAATGACATAGCAAAATATTGCCGAAAAATTATGATTTTCCTTTTTTTTTTTTTTAATATTTTATTTAATACTATCTGGTTACCGCAGACCAAACACCAATTAATATACAACTAAATATTGTAGGTAGCATTTTGCGAAAATCACAAAGTTTATATGAACGACAGCACCGATGACTTCTTCGTATGAAAAAAAAAACAGTATTTTGTCATTTCCTACAGTGTGTGTCATTTTACTACGACCCTGAACGTTCAGACGAGGTCACTGTCGATGAATTGGACTTGACGTTTTGTCATGTTTCTCGTTGAACTACTCCTGTCTATCGTTCTATTTTAACTCTTGTTTTCCGCTGTCACTTTTCGTTAACCACGAAACCGACAACCAAATTGCCAAACCCTGGGCGAGTATACAAAATACTTCAGTATTGACAATAATATTATATATTTGACATTTTGTTCTATTCAAATATCGCATAATCCTTATAAAATGTTTTATTTTTATATTATTATTTTTAATTATATAACCAACAATTATTGTTAAATAGGTGTTATAAACTACTAAAAATAAAACAAAAATAAAATATCTAAACGAAAATTATTAATTACACTATGTACAATCAAATTAGTAAAGCTTGAAAAACATTTGAAACAATTACTAGTATATAATAATAATGGTAGTATTGATCATGTGAAGCAAGTCTAATTGTTTTTTTAATCGCTTTAAAATATAATTAAAACAATTTAAGTAAAGACTCGTCAAAGTATAATGTTTTACCCTTTGAAATCTGATAAAAGAAATAAACAATAAAGGGATAGAAGAGATCCACTGATAAAATATAAGTAGTAGGGGTGGAGATTTACTATGGGATAAATCAATCGTTTATTAATTTTTTTGTCCAACATCTATTTTGGGGAAATGGCCCCAATAAACATATCAGGAAAACAAGAATTATAATAACAGTTGTCGCATGTGCAAACATGAATTGTATGTTTCATGGTTAATACCATCAGAAGCTGCTGGACACAAATATGGGTGATTTAAGTCGTGGCTATCCATAGTAAAGATCCAAGGGATTTATAGGAGATAGAGGGGATTTCAACGATGAGAGAGCGTAATTGTATATTCCTGAAACCTTCAACACATTTTCAGACAAACGAATATAATCTAATTATTCCAGACTAATAATGTATTGATTTTCAGTAATCAGATTCACTTGGTACAGCAAAACATTAATGCATACAATATATATTTTTAACCCACCTCTTATTGTGGTGTGTTCATTATAATTGCACAAAATATGCTATATATTCTATGGATTGCAGAATCTCTGTCGTAGGCGCAGTAAAGTAAATATAGTGTAAAATATTCATCACAGACATTTACGATAAAATCTACAAAAGAAGTGTACTGCTGGTTCATGTCCTAGTTAGTCCTTGAATTATTTTTTCGTAATATATTGCATACTATTTCATTCTATGGTTTCAATAAAACCACACCTATTATTTTCTTCTTTTTGTAAAAGGTTAAAAATAAAAATCCCAGCACAGCGGGGTCGAGACATAGTGACGACAAAGACGATATGATCTTCAGGAATTATCATAACTCAAAGTAATAATTACTTTCAAATAACAAAAAATTAAAAAAACTACAAGGTTACAATTATTATTCGTCAAAAAAAAAAACGTGGCTTACTGATCACGTGTTTACATCCCTTTTAAGAAGGGAGGTGAACTTTTTTAATTTATGGCCCTATAAATTACTTTTTTACGGTACAATTTTATGAACCAAAAAAAACTGCATATATTATATTATTATGATCGTCCGATGCGTTGGAATCTAATCTGTTTGTAATAATATGCACACCGACATCGCTGTATTTAGTGTTATTATATTAAAAATGACACCGACTCACTCAAATCGTTGGTCCACTTATCATATTATGTCAACTAAATATAATTAGTATATTATATCCATAGAATATTCAGATCCCTATTCGCCATTCGTTGAAATTGGCTTTCTCATAACACACAATGTATGCTAGCATGTAGGTATGTAAACTAATTGTTGAGGACTAACCTATTACTATATGACCTGTGTCTCCATCGATGCACAAAGATTCCAATCCATTTCCGCCTGTGTCTAGACACTGTAATACTTGTGTTATTATACGACTCTGTATCCTAACTGAAACGGATGAAAATATCTCCCACTGAGGGTTCGAGAGCCTGTATTTAAATGCGCATAATTTATCAAAACCAATTCCAACGGGGATTCACTTGAAGCCACTTGGAAATCCCCAAATAATCATCGCCAGACGTCGCCGACGGCTATGATGAAAAATTCATGACGACTATTTGAAGAAAAAAAATGTAAATAGAATTTTCCAGTACAGATTATATTATGTCAGCGTTGTGGCTCGGCAGGAGGGGCTAAATATCATTATGATACAATTTTACGATCCTTAGACCGGCGTGCACTCTGCGACCATATCGAATTTGTTACCAAATCGCGTTATCCTACCTATCTATACGGTAAGCACAACAAAAAAATGCTATTTCCTTCGTTTTAAGGGTGTTTTTTCTAAACCGTCGCGCTGTCGAGCGAGATTCAATTTATCAGAACCAAAAAAAAAAAGAGAGAGAAGGGCCGTATTACTTTTTAGTAAAGTATATAATATAACATAGAACGGCAGTGACGCAAATGTACTGGAGCCGTCGTACTAATTTCGCAGGGCGTGTTATATTCAAAAATACTATTTTTTTATAGAAACTCGAAAAAAAAGGTTCAATGAGTGGTACTCTTTTCCGCTGCAAGCGGATTACTCAACTTTTTCGATCAACGTTAGACAGAAAAAAACAAACAAACGGAAAAGTTATTTCAAAAAGGACGATTATCATACTATTATTATTCGAGCAGAGCGATATTTCTTTAAATAATGTTATTTCGTTCGACGGCAAAAATGTTTTGATTCCGACGAGAGAGTTCTTTAACCGAGACTCGCCGGTAAAGGCAGAGGGGAGGGAACGGACGGATATACATATTTTTCCCGGGCGAATAGTAGATTTCCAACAATATTTCCCCTCTGGAGAATCCCGATTTTTATTTCCTACGTTACATTTTTCACACACCACATATTTTTAACGTATCATCTCTTCTCGTACACATATCCGAGAGGAAATCGTGGATATGTACATACAAATACATATTACTATATATGATAGGTGAATCCCGTTTTAAACTTGGCACCATCGCTTTCTCGCCCCGTTCGCTTTGCTCCGCAAACACAAGCCACCGCGCGCTACACTATGTGTACACGACACACTAGCCCGGCATACGACCCTATCCATGATCAATATCCATTTGAATTCGACCGATGTTCATTTGGATGACCGTACGTATATAAGACACATAAGTGACAAAATGCCAAGATTTGAATTAAGAATCAATAATATGTGTTCGGTTTTTACAGCAGTAGCGCATCATTAAACAATATATTATTGACCCCCGTCGATAACACCGTCACACCGTGTTGAGTAGGTATAAATAAGAACCGCTTGTCTAACATTATCTCCAAACATTTCACGGTGTCTGGTCATCGGTATTGTCGCCCATCGGACAATGCGAACATACATATAAATTATACGGGCTACTAGAATTCGGAAAACCGATCACACAATATGATAATATTATAAGAAAAAACCAACAAATTGGTGGAAATTAAAAACATATGTTGGCATTTAAAAAAACCAAGTCCATATTCATGTTTTGCGTACAAGAGATGAAGATAAAAATGTTTTAAGTATTTAAAAATATAGTAAAATACGTACGGTTATAAGTAAAGGAAATAAAACATTTATATATTTGGGGACTTACGGCTTGGGAAGATGTGGCGCTGAAAGCTGGAGGCGTCGACGGCGTGGTCGACGATAAAGTCAACGTCAACTGCGGCGGCGGCGTCGAAAGCCTCTGATGCGGCCCGGACGACAGACAGTGAACGGCGGGATTGTATTGTTGATTGTAATGGTGCAGCACGCAGGTGAGCAGCCCGACAGTACCCAGCACGGCCACCGTCACCACCATCAGTACCATCACCGTTCCAACTACAAAAAAAAAATCATAAAACATTGATGACAAAAATTCAATGTTTACACTTAACAAAAATATTTTTCAGCTGAATAATAGCGTTAACCGATAATAATCCGTTGTACGGCAAACAGATCAGCAATTATGCGGACATAATATTATGGAAACGACAGACGGATAAGCATTGGCATTCTAAAACCTTTAAACTTAAAATTAGTGCTACATTTATTTTTAATTCAACAAATCTCTTACTAAAAAATAAATGAGGGTATTTTTAAAAGCACTTATTTTAAGTTTGATCCCCCTGATATTCTCCAATATGGATACGGTATTGGAAGGTTAAAAAGAAGGAACGGTCGAAATTTTTAAAACGAGAGAGCGAATAAAAAACAAGAAAACGAAGATAGCACTTATCAGTTAAAATGTTTTCCTCTTATTTTTAACGTGCACCTTCTGGGCACTCGGGAACGTTGGAAAGTTGTACAGGCAAAGCACGATTTCGGTACCCCGGGACATACGCGCATTTAAGTTGCACGACTTGTCCCTGCAATAGAATTTAACGACAAAACGCACATGCATGTATTAATACAGTATTCGAATTGGACAAGAACAGCTGAATACTTTTTTGTTTCTCCTTTTACGCGTTTTATATTACAGAGAAATATAATAACAACGATAGGTGCATAAAATATATTGCTCACGCGTTTTTCAATAGTGTGTAATACAATAATATTTATGATGAGTTATATAACTTGTGCGGTGCGAGATAACAAGCAGACCGATCAGTGTACTCGAACAAAATAATATCATTAAAGGTGTTGTGGCGGACTCAGGCAAATAATAATGATAATAATAATATTAAACAAACTATAAATATTTTTCAACTAAAAGGCCCTCGACTACAAAGTTCATTAGCCGGTAAACTATGCTATTATTTGACAGTACCTATATATGTATATTATTATACGCGGATGTGTATAATATTATCAGGTGCGTTATAAAAACCAAAGTTGTAAAATCATTTTTTTTTTTAGCAAAGCGACTAGATACATATAGATGCGTACACGCGTAAACTTTTCGCTTTAACATTATCATTACTCACACACAAGACGTCCTTGGATCGACCATTTATTATGATTATATTATACATATACATTTATACACGTGGAGACCGGCCGCCGCTATGTTGAACCGATTCAATGCGCGGATGTATTGTAATGAAGATGAGAATAAAAGTAATAAACGAACAAAACTCGTTTTACTAAATAGAATTGCGAATTCGTTCGTTGGCAATTTGGGTTTTTAATTTGGCGCCGAATTATCACTGTGAGGTGACCCCTGCATCACACCATGCCCTCAAATAATATCTATTAAAAAAATAATGCATACAAATATATTGTGTTGCAGTCCGCACACCGGCTAGAAGTCGTTTACCGCCATGTCATACGCTTCGAGTCGAGGTGTGTTTTTTATTTTACTTTACAGTAATTTATTTATTAAAGACAGGCCAAAAATAATTTCAACCATATCCTAAATTGATTAGATGGAGGACACAGGCACACGCACAATCACAATACGAACTTGCACCATAACCGAATTACTTAGATACAAACAAAGGTGGACGTTTAAAGAAAATGTGATTTTTGCTCCGAGTTTTTGTAACTTGAATTCATATTTTATTATTTCTACGTCTTAATAAATAATCCCTATTGTTATGATGCTGAGTGCACCTATGTGATACGTCCTCCACGACAATAATTGTATACCTTGAAAATTAAAACACTTGTAATTTGGCCAACACTCGGTTGCTATTGCTGCTCGTAGATGGGCGGCAACGGTTGTCGTATTCGATGTTACCCCAAGTTTCGCGAAAATTACATAAAATTAAGGCTAAACACTTGGCTTTTAACTTCGCGAGTATAAGCAGTTCAAGTATGGTTTAATAGATTACTATACCAAATTGAAACGCTTCCTCAGGTGTGCGAGCAATAGTCGGAAAACGAAAAAAATAAAGAAAAGAAATCTTCAATAAAAACTAAGGTATTAAAAAGTTTCGGCAATTTACTCGGGAAACTGCTATGACGGAACGCGAGAGGCGAGAAGCAAATAACAAAAAAAAAATAATAACACTACTCGCACTACTTTCCCGTTAGTTACGTTCGGTTTAATGTGTTTCGGTGGAAAACTTTGTGCCGAGTTGTGCACAAAGTGAGCGACCCCAGTAATACTTTTCAAAGTGTGTGTACGAGTGAGTGTGCACATACACAATACGACGTCCTATTATATACATAGAACACCGCCGTAAGCCGAATTCTATAGCAAACACTATAGAAGGCACCGCCGGGTAGGTCGATATATATATATTCCACACGACTCCTTTGTCGGAGAGAAAGAAACGAGGGCGAAAATCTAATTTGCAGTTTTCGGGTTTGCGCTTCTTCCATCCGTTTTCCCATCCCCACCGACCGCCGCCACCTTTTTAATACACCTAAAGAAAAACTATCCCGTGTATGTGTCTATTCAAAGGGCGACGACACTGCATAAAAATGCATGCTCTATCTATTTGTTAAAAAAACAACTCCAAATCCGTCCGAATACACCACATTGACCAAGTTGTACAGTTATGGCGGCCCAAATAGATGTGTTGACAAAGAACTCGTACTTTTATACGATTCCTCCCCCTCACCATTTTTTTTATGCGTTTTACCAACTTTTTGTTTGCCCCTCCCCCCCGACGGTATTACCGGCGTTAGACGGCACCGTTATAGAGTTCTTATATCGTTATTTGCCAGTTATAGTAGCTTAGTAATTTTAGTGGTGGAGAAAATAAAAACCAGAAACCGTTTAATATAAATCCGATATTAAGATCATAAAAAAAAACCATCGTTTCCAGACCTAATGCACATTGTACTTACATTTTACTAACCCGCCTTATCTATACCTACCGAATTAATGGACATTTTTAGCGCATTTTGTGCACGATTACCAGTACATTTCTCGAAAGGCGAAATTGAGACTTTTGCGGTTAAGGCGATTATTTTATTTTTCGGTGGCAATACATTGACAAAAATACTTTTAAAAAAATTAATAATAATATACCAAAGCATTAAACATGAAACAGTCACGTGGTATTCGGCTATATCTACCAACGCGCCACCGCCGCAACACAAAATCCATAAAAATTACAACGTAGAAGAGTTTTTTTTTTAGCTATTATTCACCGAACATATTTTTTACAGCTCTTCGCAATACAGTTAAATAGCCATAAACTGAAATTCTTCAAGTCAACTCGTAAGCCGAGTGTTGTCGAGGTCAATATAGAAGTAGAGTCGGACACTTTTGTTAGTGACACACTGTAAAGGAACCGAAACTGGTAACTTTAACTATTGTATTAGATAATTATTATTATATTATGCAAAATGTGTATTATGAGCAGTGCTCAGAAGTTGTGTAAAGTGTAACTCTTAAGGTCGCTTCCAGTTCTGCGAAAAAACGGGGCCGCTTTAATAATACTATTTAGTACGTGTGCGGCAGACAAATGAAAACGAACGAGGCTTGAACGGCTCCGCAGATAAACTTTTTTACACGGTTTGTGTTTGTCCGTTTTACAAGTATTTTTTCACGCAAAATATTGATCATTTTTTATGTAGAAATACGGCCGACCGCCGTCAAGGTTTGGCATTCGACGGCAGTGTTGTTAACGCTACCATAGTCGCTAGCAGTTTCTTTCTCCGAGTAAACGCCTGTCTAAAGATAATAAATTACACTTCGAAGCCAAGTATATTATTTAAAAAAAATAATAATAATAATGAAAATATATAGTTTTTAAGTTCAAACACAGCCGTGTTAACAACAATAAACCCAGCTTTAACTAAATAAAGAAAAAAAAGTCTATACTCTTTTTTTTTTTAAGTACATTTTTAAATAAAATATCAGTGCATAGTTCAAATTTGTATAATTTTTTTTTTTGTGAATTATGTTTTATAAGAACACACAATCTTAAGCACTTATTGTTCGTACAGATTTGTGTTTTTTTAAATCAAAACACCCCGTGCTGGATTTTGTTGTGCTCGACGATTAATTTTTCTCGCTTGTGAGACGATATCGTTGTATTATATTATAATATACACAACGTCAGCGCGACTTAATACAGTGTGATTCATTAAAGGTAAAACACTGTTTGCACGACATTAATGAATCACCGTGAATAATTGTTACTGCCTATTGTTGTAAAACTTGGGTTATGATATATTATACATGTATATTATTATATTTTGGCATTGCCCTCGCGGCCATCGGTCGACGGATGTATTCACTCAAGTGTACTGTAATAAATCACACGATGGTGGCGACGTCAAAAACGCATAGAGGCAGGTCCGCAAGTACAACACAAGAACCAACTCAAGTCATTGTGGCGTTTTGTTTGAACAAATCCGGAATTTTTAAACATTTTTGTGGGGCCCGGCTGGCTGACTGGTAATTAATGACTCAAGGGATCGGTGACCGCAACCGAATACTTTCTTCTCGTTATTATTTTGCCTATTATTTGCCTACAATAGACTGTGCATAACATTATACTATTATACTTTACATTATGCACAGAAGTCACAGGGTGTGTCGACCGAGACGACCAGCAGCAGCTTTACACACACTGCCAAGGGTCATCGTACCAACAACGATGGCGGCGACAGAGTGTGACACGCGGTCGTCCGGTCGCTTGTCCAGCATACCTCGTACATGTGATCTATATAAGAATTATATACATTTATATTATTATATTGTTATACACTGTCCCGGGTCGTAACAAGATTTTTCTCCGCTGGACGGTCGCAGTCCTTTATGGCTTTATGTATTATTATTTAATACAATACAAAGCTGGGCAAGTGACCTGCCACAAGTCCTCAGACCCCGTACGCCACTTTCGTAACTCGTCAACCTATACTAATTACTTATGAACATATATTAATTAAGTGGCTAGTTACTTTAAACGACAAGAAGAACCTGGAGAAAAGACACG